GGTCCGACATCTCCTTGATTACCCTGAGGACCTTGAGGACCTTTTGAGCCAGGTTCTCCAACAAGTCCTTGGCTTCCTTTTTGACCAACTAATCCTTGAATACCTTTTGACCCAGTATTACCAGTAAAACCTTGTGGACCAATATTGCCATTAGGACCCCTTTCCCCAACAGGCCCTTGATCACCTAAATAAGAAAAATTTATAAATATTTTCGCTAATGCCAACAGAATTTTATTACCTCGTGAACCTTTTTGACCAGTAGAACCAGTATACCCAGCTTCACCATTTACTCCTTGTATACCTGATTGACCTTTACTTCCTATACTTCCCTTCGACCCAACAGCTCCTTGGTCACCTAAAGGGCCTATAGGACCTGAAATGCCTTTAGGACCTTGTGGTCCAGGTGCTCCAGTATTTCCTGGTGGCCCTTTATCTCCCACATTACCTGGTGCGCCAGTATTACCTTGAGAACCAACAGGACCGGCAGGTCCAGCTCTTCCATTAGGTCCAGCTGGCCCGTGTTGTCCGGTATAACCTCTTACTCCTGGGATTCCAGAAATCCCCGGGCTGCCTTTGTTACCTGCAGGCCCTAGAACCCCTTGATCTCCTACATCTCCTTGTTGACCTCTGAAAAACATAAATACACATTAAACTTTGATGCAAAAAAAAGTTTTTTACCTTTTTCCAGGAAGCCCTAATGGGCCAAGAGATCCTTTTTCTCCAACAGGGCCCTTGTCGCCAACACCACCTTCATCACCCCGTAAACCCTTAATGCCAAGAGGTCCATCAGGTCCTTGGCCACCAGTGTCGCCTCTCGATCCCACATTACCTGGTAAGCCTTTATCTCCTCTCTGACCTTTCTGTCCTTTAGTTCCAATATCGCCCGGATTTCCCTGGGGACCTGTTTTTCCTACTAGATTGCCAACTCCCTTTTCACCTTGAAGCCCTTTTGGTCCCTAATAAAAAATTTCTCAGTTAAACATGAATACAAAAGACAAGAAAAATTAAGAATCATACAGGATTTCCGATATCTCCTTTTCTTCCACTAGATCCTTGTTGTCCTGGTTGACCCTTTAACCCTTTATTACCAGCCGGCCCTTTTGGACCTGAATCTCCAGGAGAACCAACATTTCCTTGAATACCTTTTATACCTCTTGGTCCAGAATCACCATTTGAGCCTTTACTACCTTGAGACCCAACAGGCCCTACAGGACCTCTTACACCCGTTGATCCCATGGGTCCATCGCTCCCAGGTTGACCTTGGGCACCTTGTATGCCTTGGCCTCCTGATTGACCAGGAGCTCCGGAAGCACCAGTATCACCCTGAAAAGAGGAATATTAGTAAGATTCCTTAAAACGGACTATCAGATCTTACTCTTGGCCCTTGCAGTCCTGGTAGACCTGCCAAACCAACACCTCCTACAAGCCCTGGAATTCCCTGAGGCCCTTGAGGTCCCAAAGGCCCCACTACACCATCTACACCTGCTAACCCAGTATCACCTTGATCTCCAATTGGACCTGGCTTACCGCGAGGTCCTTGAACACCATTGATTCCAGGGTTACCAATGGGCCCATCAGCTCCCTTTTCTCCAGCAGATCCTAGAGCTCCCTTAGCTCCAGCAACTCCAACATCACCAACATCGCCAACACGACCATTTTGGCCTATATTACCATTTGGTCCTGCAGGACCGGGATTTCCTCGAGAACCAAAGTCTCCTCTCACGCCTTTAACTCCTTGAATTCCGGGGGGACCTGGTCCTCCTGCGTCTCCAGGTGAACCCTGTCGTCCATCTAATCCTATTGATCCATCGGGTCCTGCATCGCCAGGAGATCCAATATCTCCTATAGGCCCGGCTGGTCCGGCGGCGCCAACTTGTCCCTTATTGCCAGGCAGACCATTACTACCGATATCACCTTTATCTCCAGGTTGTCCAAAATCTCCCATGACTCCTTGCTGACCAAGAGGCCCTTTGTTGCCTTTAGCACCTTCTACTCCAATGGCTCCAGCAGGACCTGTGGATCCTTGATCTCCTTTTGGACCTATAACACCCTTTTCACCAAGTTGACCTGCATCGCCTTGCGGCCCGTCTGGTCCAGGTTCTCCATTCATTCCCTTTCCACCAGGTACTCCTGCCTCCCCGGGATCTCCAATAGGTCCTTTTTCTCCAGTTGCTCCTAGCCCTCCAACTAAACCGATTTCTCCTGGCGGGCCTGTGTCACCAACATCACCAGCATTCCCTCTATTACCTTGAAGACCTTGAGCGCCAGCTTTGCCTACTGGTCCTTTAGGACCGTCCGGCCCTGTAAACCCCCTTTCTCCTGCATCTCCTTTTAATCCATCAAATCCCTGTGGTCCTTTACTACCTACGGGCCCTTTACTTCCTCGATCCCCAACATCGCCGACAGGACCTGAATTTAATATAAATAGTTAAATTAAGAATCATAGTTGACAAAAATGTACCTCTTGGTCCAGTATCTCCGTCAGGACCAATCGTTCCATTTTTTCCCATTGGTCCATCTAGACCAATATCACCTGTATCGCCAAGCCCTCCGGCTGAACCTTTAACACCAGGTACTCCCGGATCTCCTTCAGGTCCTGTACTGCCCTGAGGTCCTATTTCACCTGGATCACCTCCAGGGCCGGACAGTCCATTTATACCAGGGTTTCCATTACTTCCTTTAAGACCGATTACTCCTATATTTCCTGGTATGCCACGAAGACCAACAGAACCTAGAGTTCAAAAATCAATTAGTAACAGAAACTTTGCCAGATTAAGGAAAACCTTTTTCTCCTTTATCCCCTTGTGGTCCTGGACTGCCTCCTGGTCCTTGTACACCTGTGCTCCCAGGTAAACCCTTTGGCCCGGCTGGACCAACGGGTCCAGAATCACCTTGTAATCCTTGACTACCAACAGGACCAGGGTTTCCTTTGGGTCCTATACCCCCAGTATCTCCTGTTGAACCTTGTAACCCCTGACCCCCATTAAATCCTTGTTGACCATCAATTCCTGGATTACCGACTGATCCTGGTTCGCCTAAAGGACCACGGAAACCCTTTTCTCCTTTCATACCAATAATTCCTTTTGGGCCATTATCTCCCTTTGGTCCTGTAGAGCCCAGTAATCCTTTGAGGCCTTTTTCTCCTATTTTCCCCTAAAATACCTTTTTTTATTGACTATAAAAATGAACAAAGTATTTTTACCTGTGGGCCGCGATCTCCTTTATCTCCTACTGGTCCATCTCTTCCAATTGCACCTGGTAGACCATCTGTACCGTTAGTCCCCTTTTCCCCAACAGGACCAGACTCTCCTGCCACTCCTTGAGATCCAGGAGCTCCTTTAATGCCTTCAGCTCCTTGGGGACCTTTATCACCATTACTCCCACGATCGCCTGGTAACCCTCTTGGACCTTTTCATAATTTTAAGAAAGCGTAAATCTAATATCTGAAAAATAAATGTATACCTTCTAATCCTGTATTTCCTACAGGGCCTCTATCACCCCTGTCTCCGTCTTCCCCAGGTAAGCCTGGTGGACCGAAATCTCCAGGTCCTCCAGCAACTCCTTTGGTACCTTTTTTACCAGCTGGCCCCTGGGGACCACCAGGTCCAGCCAAACCTGCTAGACCTATTCTTCCCCTATCTCCTTGAATACCACGGGGGCCTTTAGATCCAATTGGACCTCTCTGGCCTGGTGGACCTGCAGATCCCGTAAAACCAGGAGGACCAGTATCTCCTACTGGACCTTGTGGTCCATAGTTTCCGTCTGGACCTACAGAATAAAATCGTATGTTTCAGTGTATTGGGTTTGTTTTTGAGTAATTAATTACCTGGAGGGCCATTGTCTCCTTTAGGTCCAAGAACACCCTTTTGCCCTACGATACCTCTATCCCCTACAGGACCAGTCTCCCCTGGGGGTCCCACAGGCCCTGGTAAACCTGGAGCTCCTCTTTGGCCTGAAAATTATCGTGAAGAAAAATATAGATGAAAGAGTTTAAAAGGGTAAATGTCTGATAGACTACCTGTGCCATCATAACAAAATCCTCCTTTTTTGCATTTTACAGTCTGGTCACCGCCTCGCCCTTCCCCAACATTTTGCTGAGCGTAAACTATTGGTTTAAAAAAAGAATATTAAAAATTGTATATAAAAAAAGGCTGTAAAAAAAATTTCACAAGAAAAAAAGCCAGACCTAAAGAAGAAAAAGTTCTTTTTTGTAAAACTATGAGAACATCAATAAAGTTGTCAAAATTTCTTTTATTTTGGTCAATAAATACGATATTCGATAAATAAGATGGTTTAAAATTATCAATATATTTAAAAGATGATAAAGCATATATGCAGATATTTGCATATAAATGCGTTACTACAAGAATTGATAAAACGTTAAAGGAAAAATAAGATACTTACTCCAGTTTACTCCAGAGAAAATGTAAAATAGTGCAAGGACCTTCAGCATTGCCCTGTTTGAATAGTAATGATTAAATAATCGTTTTTAAATAAATAAATAAAATGCCATTAGAGTAACTTTGCAAATTGTTTTGTTACAACTGTGCAATATTGCTATAACACTGCATTATTTTCTTTAAACTATCTTTAATTTGTAATTGAAGATAGTAAGTTGAAATGATCATACGAAAACTTTACTAACCCTCTCACTCACACTATCTCTGGAGAAAACTATTCGGTGTCACAGAAAAGCATATAGGACGTTGATTTTACCACATCCACTTTGAGTGTTCAGCTTGGTTGAATTTGATTTTCGCACTAGGGGGAGTAGTTGAAAATAAATGCTTTATAAATACAGATATTATTTAGTTTTAAAATCTTTAAGCGAGATTTTAGCTATTGAATTAATTTTTATTAATTAATTTGCATATGTTTCTATGGTAATTTCTTATTGGGAAAGCAAGTGCAGGGAGTTAGCATAAAAAGTTTAATAAAAGTATTTCAAAATAAACCGCTCTAAAAACGCGTGGCGGTAAAAGTGTTAGCGTTGGAGACGGTATGAAAGATCAGACAGCTCTTTCGGATCATTTTTTAATCATAAGGATTCAAAGTGCAGTCAACTGTGGAGGACAGCGCCGCTCTAAGGACTGTGCTTGTGCTGTATATGCTTTAAGGCGGACAATTATAAAAAATTTTCCATCTCTGCAGCTGGGCAGTAACGTTCCCAGGGCAGGATTGAAGGAAATTTTAACGCTGCATAGCCTTATAATAAACTAAAGGTAAGCATTAGAACAAAAATTATCAATTAAAATATAGAAAAGCCTTTATTTTCATTCAATTTATTATAAGTTATATTGGTATGTTAAAAAAAAACCAAGTATTAAAGAGAAGACATGTTATAGAATATAACTTCGATTTCATTTTACAACTAATACTTTTCATATTCGACTGCAGTGTTATTTCATAATTTCTATTGATATCAGATGGAAAAAAGGCTCAGCGTTTTACCGATTGTTATTTTTTTGCTGTTCGTTAGCAAAGGTATGCTAATTTCTTCTACAAACAAATCTTTCTTTTGTGTTACCTCTCGTTTAATTTTCTTCTTTTATTATTATTGTAGCATTTTGTCAGAATTCCGCCAGAGGTGTTGGAGGTGATCAAAATACAGAATGTAAGGAAGGCGGTCTGTGTATGGAAGGAACGGGTAATCACCTAAATAAAATAAATTATTTTCAATAAGTACTGATTTCTATTTCAAGGTCTGAGAGGAGTTCCTGGGCCACCGGGGCCAGCAGGTCTTCCAGGTGCGACCGGCTCTTCCGGATCTCCTGGCCGAATCGGTCCAAGAGGTGTTATCGGCCCCAAAGGCAATCAGGGCCCACCCGGACCTGCAGGTCCGGAGGGACGAGAAGGTCCCCCAGGTGACCAAGGGAATCCAGGTGGAACAGGACCTCCTGGTCGTTCTGGTAACTTTGGAAAACCTGGTCCCAAAGGCCCAGTTGGACCTCAAGGTCCAGTAGGAAATATTGGGCGACAAGGAAATCCTGGTCCTCGTGGATCTCAGGGAGCTACTGGAAATAAAGGAGGTGTAGGTCAAAATGGTTCCCCTGGTTTACAAGGACCAAGAGGTCCACAAGGAATGGTTGGCGATCCTGGTGATAAAGGGCCAGCTGGTGCTGACGGTCAGCAAGGTAATCTACTTGAACCAGAATTTCATGATTATATGCAATATGACAATTTATTAATTTTCTTAATTGATATTTTTTGTAGGTCCACCAGGCTCAGCTGGTCAACCTGGGGACATTGGAAGTATAGGACCGAAAGGACCAACTGGAATAAAAGGTCCTAATGGTATTCGAGGACCTCAAGGGGATCAAGGGCCACAAGGAAATAGAGGGCTTCAAGGAGAAAGTGGAATTAATGGTGCACAGGGGCAGCCCGGACAGAGTGGAGACAAAGGACCACCAGGCCCAGCTGGAAATACAGGAGATCAAGGACCACAGGGACCCAAAGGAGAAGATGGTCCAAAAGGATCTGTGGGACCAAAAGGAACAGTAGGTGATAAAGGAGAAATTGGTTTCCGTGGCCCACCAGGTATGTGAATATTTCGATTGAATATAGTCCTACAACTCTTCTTGTTTTAAGGTGCGCCTGGTGACGTTGGTTCTGAAGGAAGTAGAGGTTCACCAGGAATCAATGGCAACAGAGGTGATCAAGGATTTACTGGTATGTCTGGACCTCCTGGTCCAAAAGGCAACGTTGGAAGTGATGGTCCACCAGGACAACCAGGTTAGAAGAGATTAATATTAGAAATAAGCCTAAATAAATATAATTTATGTAGGGGATCCTGGATTTACCGGCCCAGATGGGCCAAAAGGAAATATGGGAAACACCGGTCCTATTGGGCCAAATGGAGATATAGGACCGATTGGTACACAAGGAGCAAGCGGTGCACCTGGAAAGAATGGAGATCCAGGAGAGTTTGGTCCAATTGGGTCTAATGGCGATCCAGGACCAGCTGGGTCAAAAGGTTTACCTGGCCCTAATGGTGACCCAGGTCAACAAGGTCAACAGGTAAAAAAATCTAAAGTTCTTATTTTAAGACTTTGTAATTATATTTATATCTAGGGAGCTACTGGTCCTCAAGGCGACCCAGGTCTACCAGGAGAAAAGGGACCGAAGGGTTCAGAAGGGGATACAGGTGATATAGGAATAGATGGACCCCCAGGAAGTGATGGAGCAGGTGGTGCTCCTGGACCAAATGGTCCAATTGGTAATAAAAACTTTTTATTACTTTTTATGATGAAAATTCTCATAAAAAAGTTTGCTTCATTTACATTATTTGTTAAATAGGTGAGCCAGGAGATCTAGGGGATGCTGGCTCTAAAGGTGCTCCTGGAGCTAAAGGGCCAAAGGGAATAGATGGCCAGAAAGGTGCTGTTGGGGATCCTGGACCAATGGGAGACACTGGAAATCAAGGACCTCAGGGAGGCCAAGGACTTGCTGGTCCCAAAGGTCTACAGGGAGACACTGGGGATGCGGGGGATCAAGGCTCTCCTGGCCCAGACGGACTGCCCGGTTCAGAAGGCGATACAGGAAGTGTTGGTCCCGCTGGAGATATAGGAGACCCTGGACCAGCTGGTTCTAAGGGTCCCGCTGGTCCTCAAGGACTTGACGGACCCCAGGGAGATGCAGGTCCCGCAGGAGAAAAAGGTGCACCAGGTATAAAAGGAGAACCAGGTGTTCAGGGGCCAATTGGAAATGTAGGCCCTGAAGGAACCGGAGGTGCTAAGGGTCCTCAAGGAGGTGAGTTTACAAAGGATAACAAATATAAGTGAGTCATAGCGCCTGTTTTTAGCTACTGGCCCAAATGGGGTAGCTGGATCACCAGGTGATAAAGGAGCGCAAGGTGGAGCAGGTAGTCCAGGACCACAAGGCCTGCCCGGAGCACCAGGTAACCCTGGTTTCACTGGGGATGCCGGATCGCCAGGTAGATTTGGATTACAAGGTGCAACTGGCTTACAAGGATTGCCAGGACAGAGTGGAGATGTTGGAGATCCAGGAACGATTGGAAGCCAAGGAGCGAAAGGCCCACCTGGAGATAATGGTCGAAATGGTGATAAGGGAAAAGTTGGACCTGCAGGAAGAGCAGGCACACCTGGAGCTGGTGGAGCTGTTGGTGACCCAGGTCCTGCAGGTCCGAAAGGACCCATAGGACCAGGCGGTGCGGGTGGTGAGGCTGGTATACCTGGAGATCAAGGTGCTCCTGGTAGTCCTGGAGCTAACGGAAACCCTGGTCCGCCAGGTGACCAAGGTATTCAAGGTCCTATCGGTCCAGATGGAAATAAAGGAAAGATAGGTCCAGCTGGTGCAGTTGGCCTGCCTGGTAATGCAGGACCACCTGGAATTCAGGGCAATCCAGGCAGTCAAGGATCTCCTGTAAGTATTTTATGCTTTAAAATGATATACAAGGATAAAGAAATATTCTAATAGGGTCCACAAGGATCTGCTGGAGAACCTGGAAAAGTTGGTAATCCTGGAGAAAAGGGAATAAACGGAATTCAAGGTGCAGACGGACTTCCTGGACCAGATGGTCCAGTCGGTAACCCTGGACCCAAAGGACCTGCTGGAGAAAAAGGAGTAGATGGTGATATCGGTGCAAAGGGTGCTCAAGGACTTCAGGGTCAAATTGGAGCTCCTGGAGATCCTGGCGCGCAAGGCGGTAAAGGTTCAAAAGGCCAAATAGGGCCTGCTGGTGACAGAGGAAAACAAGGTAAGCTCATTTCATTTGCTTTCATTATTTAGTTGAATATGCTATTTTGAGATAAGTGTTCGACTTTATTATAATTCTTCATATATAGTGTATAAAAAAAATCTTCAATTTTTATCAATATAGGAGAGGCTGGTGACAAAGGTCCAAAAGGTGTTAAAGGCTTATCAGGAGAAATGGGAACAGCTGGATCTCAAGGTCCCGTTGGTGCTAATGGTGGGGCTGGAGATACAGGAGAAGTTGGTCCTAAAGGCCTTCAAGGAAATCCTGGACCTCAAGGTCTACCAGGAAGTAATGGTTTCACTGGTGAACAAGGACCTGCTGGAGCAATTGGTAGGATATTTTGAAATACAACATTTTTGAAAATCTTTAAGTTTAACTTTTATTGTACATAGGAGTTCCTGGTATAGCAGGAGATCAGGGACCTATAGGAGATAAGGGTGCTGAAGGTGATAAAGGTCAAGTAGGTCCCGAAGGCGTTAATGGAGATCGTGGTGTTGTTGGTGATGCTGGCGTTCAAGGAGACCCTGGACCTGCCGGCTCTCGTGGTCCAGTTGGTGGTCAAGGAGCAACTGGTCAACCAGGCTATACTGGACAAAAGGGTCCAGCAGGACCAGTTGGTGCAACAGGTCCAGTGGGATCCATTGGTCAACAAGGTTTACAAGGGCCTCCTGGTGCACAAGTAAGTTTTAACTAGAAAGAGTTATAATTTGTACTTAAAATTACTGAAAGGGTGAGGCTGGATCTCCCGGGAATACTGGACCGCAAGGCCCTCAAGGCGGCCAAGGTGCTACAGGATTACCAGGATTAGTTGGCGATCAAGGACCAGAAGGAGCAGAAGGAAGTGCTGGCCAAAAGGGCTCACCCGGTTCCCAAGGAGATACTGGTTCTCCAGGACCTATTGGTGGGCCAGGCCTAAAGGGCCCAAGAGGTGAACAAGGTCTAGAGGGAAATAAGGGGCCAAACGGAGCACAAGGTATACTTGGAGATACTGGCAGCACTGGGCCAAAAGGTATAATGGGACTAACAGGTCCAAAAGGAAATGATGGTCCAGTCGGTGATATTGGTCCCAAAGGACCCAACGGGCCGATAGGTGATCAAGGAGATATTGGAGCAGATGGTCTTCCAGGTCCAGATGGTCGACAAGGTCCGCAAGGAGATACGGGAATGATTGGAGATGCTGGAGACCCTGGTGCTAGAGGATCGAAGGGTCCCATAGGTCCAGTTGGAGCTTCTGGAAGTCCAGGTGATAGAGGACCGGCTGGAGATGCTGGAGCCATGGTAAGCTGCTTCTTACCCTAAATTAGATATTATTCAAGTGTAACTATTCAGGGTGACACTGGAGATATCGGAGCAAATGGTGAAATAGGACTCCCAGGGCCACAAGGTGAAAGAGGATTGCCAGGTGACAGAGGAAGTACTGGAGAACCTGGTGCGAAAGGAGGCATAGGGCCCAGAGGCCAGTCAGGACCTGTTGGGGCAAAAGGTCTCGATGGAGACGCAGGAGAGGAGGGAGTTCAAGGAGTGGCAGGAGAAGCTGGCGATAGAGGACAAGCCGGTCCGCCAGGGCCTTTAGGCGCAACTGGCGAGGTAGGACTGCCTGGATTAAGAGGTCTACAAGGCAGAAGAGGTCGAATTGGCGCGACAGGAGAAATTGGTCCTCAAGGCCCTGCTGGACCAGAAGGACCAGCAGGTCCTGAAGGTCCCATTGGAAATCAGGGTTCAATAGGTTAGTTAAACTATAATTCTCTTAATATAAAATAAATATGTTTATAAACTAAAGGTGATACTGGTAGAGAGGGTAGGCAGGGTATTATCGGCTTAAGGGGAGAAGCTGGAGATCAAGGTCTTAAAGGTGAAAAGGGTCCACCAGGGCAGGCTGGAAAACAAGGTCGCTTAGGAGCAACTGGTTTCAGAGGAGCATCAGGTCCAAGAGGTATAATGGGTTTCGAAGGACCAGATGGATATAGAGGACCGGATGGGCCAGATGGTCCCCGAGGAAATACAGGCCAACCTGGTAAACAAGGGGCTGATGGTCCTCAAGGTCAATTAGGACCTCCAGGTCGGCAAGGGCCGCAAGGATCTCAAGGAACCAGGGGAGGAACCGGTCCTGTAGGAGCTAGGGGCCCTAGAGGACAACAGGGGGATGTGGGAGATCGTGGACCAACTGGACCAGCTGGACCAGTTGGTAGAACCGGAGGTATTGGAGAATTGGGTATTGATGGACCACAGGGCGAAAGAGGTAAGTACATAAGAGTTTATCTCTATATCAAATACACCCTTTTATTTAAATTCAGGTGGCACTGGATCACCTGGACCAGTTGGCGCAACAGGAGGAACAGGAAGAAAAGGTCCAAGAGGGCCTATTGGGGCGCCTGGAAATCCTGGAGTTATGGGAGTAAGAGGACCTTTAGGTTCACCAGGAGCGGATGGTAGTCCTGGAGCTGAGGGCCCGATGGGTAAGAAATTAATATATATAGAGAGAGAAAGTCTTAACGATTTAGTAAACTTTCAGGTCAACCTGGAAATGGAGGAGTACAAGGAGAAATAGGACCCATAGGACCTCAGGGAGAAGAGGGTGATATTGGTCCTGAAGGACCTGCTGGTCCTCGTGGAATTGCTGGAAGTCCTGGTGGTCCTCCCGGTCCAACTGGTAAAACAGGCTTACCAGGATTTTTTGGAGTGAATGAGTGTCTTGTAAATAATGGTGGTTGTGATCAAGTTTGTTTCGATACTGCCCAAGGTTTTTGCTGCCTGTGTCGACCAGGATTCAATTTAGTACCAATACCAATTGAAGATACGACGTGTACAAGTAAGATTAAAGATGCTAATTCTTGGTTCTTTCTTTTCATATATAAATATTTTACAGTTGACAGCGTTGTTTGTGAATATATCAACAATCAAAGACTTTGTACATGCACTGACTCGAATAATAGAGTTGTACCTATCAGTGGCACCAGATGTAGAGGTTTGCATTTAAAGACACTTAGAGAAGTTCGCTAAACTTTTAATACGATATACTTGCTCCTTTTTGCAGATATTGATGAATGTAATGCTGGAACTCATAACTGTGACGATCGTTGTGTTAATACTGGAGGAAGTTACACTTGTGCTTGCAGAGATGGTTTTACCCTGTCTACAGATGGTAGAACTTGTTTAGATAATAACGAATGTTCTGGTACTAACCCCTGTCAAGGAGATCAATTTTGCGTAAACACCTATGGATCTTTTATGTGCCTCTGTAAGACAAAAGACAAACGAATTATTATAATTAGTACTAAAATTCATAATTCTTTCAGTTGCCTTGGTAGCAACGGGACAATCAGCTGCTGCTCAAAAGGCTGACAACAACCAAGTTGAAACAGCAATTAGCCAAAGCAACGGATCAACAGTTACCATTACAATATTGGCTGTAATATCGGGAATCCTTTCCGCCGCAATATTAGTTGTAGCAGTAAGGCATATTATAAAGAAGAGAAGAAAATCCAGAGATGAAGAAAGCGATGCTTACGATAATCGCACAATGAACTCAAGTGTCATCGACGAGCGACTTTTCGATAGAAAAATTTAAATATAAGAATACCATATTTTTTCCATATAATTTTTTTTTTTGGTGCAATAATGGACGCTTTTTTTCGGTGTAAAACTATATACATTTATATATAATATATATACATGTAAAATGTATACACCTGAGTTTATGCTCATCTGGAAACGTAGGCCTATGATGTTTGGTTTTAGAATTTTAATACAATAATCAGAATTTTACGAGTACGACGAAATATTTAATCGTCTCGTTAATGTTTGCGTTTTCTAATAATAATTCAGTTCAGAATTAATAACATATTACTATGTATTCAAGTTCTATATTAGCAAAGTTGAAATATTATAAAAGTTCATAATAGGCTGGCTAAACTCAATAAATCAATTCGGGCGTATCGTTTACATTAAATCTTACTTCTTCTTTTTACCCTTCTTACACCCACCCTATCGTTTTTAGGCCTTATTTTCTATAACGAGGGGCGAGTTGAACGCGGCCGCGAAAGTGTTGCAGGGAGTAGGGATCATATCCCGACCGATAGTTAATTTTTGATATTAGGAGTTGCCCAATTCGTAAAACCGGTTGCGATCATTACAAGGTGGGCCTTGATCCACCCTAACATAACATTAGCCCCACAACTTCTAGTCTGCGTGAGCCAGTTCCTGCAAGCTCCAAATTTCGGCGTCATAATAATGATGGTAAGTGCTATTATCTTGTATAGTTAATGTTATATGACAAAAACAAATTGTTCAATTAATTTGTTTATTTAAACCAATGATATTTGATTAATTCAAAGGTTAATGCCTGGTATTTGTAGTTAAACATAGCAATAGATATATAATATGTCTGGCTTAACTACATCGAACTTTTTATTAAATAAACCTTTGTTATTCCTTTTTTAGGCGCGCCGTTTTGGTAGAGTCGCAGCGTCCTGGATAGTTGTGATATATATTTTACAAACAGGTTTGCTAGTTTTCCTTTATGAATATGCTAATTTTACAAACACTTTTTGATTACATTAATTCATTTGAATTATAGGAAGCGGACAAGAATCTAATGGCGTTAATGTCAGATGTAATAACGAAGGAGGTGTTTGCTTTGAAGGATCTGGTAACTTTCGTTTTTCCTAAAACTATTTTATCTTACGCAAATTTCTTTTCATAGGAGTAAATACTCGTCCAGGACCCCCTGGACCTCCTGGTCCACCAGGAACAGGGGGACCTGATGGGCCTCCTGGAATCCAGGGTCCACCTGGAGGAAGGGGGCCAGTTGGAGACCCAGGACCTAATGGAGCAAAAGGCCCTAAGGGACCAGGCGGTCCTAGAGGTAGAGACGGACCGATAGGCACATCAGGACCTGAAGGTCCTGTAGGTCCTAAAGGATTAAACGGGCCTCCTGGAGATAGAGGCCCTCAAGGAATAGCGGGAAATGAAGGACCTCTTGGTAACCCAGGTAGAAATTAAGTCTATTATTTTTATCCTTCAATGATAATCGAATTATTATACGCATAATAGGCCAACCTGGAGCACCTGGTCAACAAGGACCAGCAGGGGAACAAGGTGCCAAAGGTCCAGACGGTCAAGCAGGTCCACCTGGTCGCCAAGGAAACAGAGGAAGACCAGGATTAAGTGGCAATGCGGGAGCAGATGGCCCACCTGGTAAATGCGAAATTTTTTCATTATAAGATAGGTTTTTGACTATGCTCAAATTATTAGGTGGAAAAGGCCAAGACGGACCCCCTGGTGCCCCAGGTAATCCTGGAGATGCTGGACCGCCTGGCCCTCAAGGAGATAAGGGTCCGCCCGGTCCACAGGGGGCCCGAGGAAATATAGGCCTTCAAGGTAATAAAGGAACAAAAGGCAACATAGGTGCTCAAGGTCCGCAAGGCTTAGGAGGTGAGCCTGGTGATCAAGGTGTAAAAGGAGAAAAAGGAATTGTTGGTGAAAAGGGAATGCCTGGAAATGATGGTGTGCAAGGTGACAACGGTCTCCAGGGAGATCAAGGTTCTCCTGGCGATAAAGGCGTTGCTGGACCAAAGGGTAATGTAATTAAAATTACTATATTCGCATTAAAAACCAGTTTAGTCTACCTTTAAAAGGGCTACAAGGACCTCAAGGTCCCCGAGGTGCAACTGGTCCGGATGGTAATCCTGGAGATAAAGGCCCTGAAGGAAATGGTGGCAGTCAAGGTCCTCAAGGACCACCTGGAGATACTGGTGCTTCAGGTCCAATTGGAAACCAAGGAAATGATGGTAGCGCTGGACTGCAAGGACCTGCAGGGGACCCTGGAGCTATAGGTCCGCAAGGAAACACTGGACCTCAAGGAAACCCTGGACCAAATGGTGACGTTGGAAGTACAGGATCTGATGGAGAAATTGGTGCTACTGGTGCAACTGGAGATCCTGGCTCTCAAGGACCTGCTGGAAGTCAAGGGGATGCCGGAAATAAAGGACCCCAAGGACCAGCTGGTAAGCCAGGTATTCCAGGACCCGTAGGTCCGGTCGGACCACAAGGCGATACAGGTGATAAAGGCCCTCAAGGCAAAGTCGGTCAACCAGGAAAACAGGGTCCTGATGGAAATGATGGAGCCAAAGGAGCAACTGGAGTACCTGGAGCACAAGGTATGATAAATACTTATAACTCTATTTTAAGCTATAAGTTAAAAATGTTAACTTAGGCGATGTTGGAGGAAAGGGTCCTGATGGACTGCAGGGAGACCAAGGACCTGATGGAGACAAGGGTAATAAAGGTGCTAATGGAGACAAAGGTGCCAAAGGACAAAAGGGAGTTGTTGGCCCACAAGGAGACAAAGGTCCTCCAGGGGCTGTAGGGCCCAATGGAGATCAAGGCTTAAAAGGCAATCCTGGATCAGTCGGCCCTATTGGAAATACTGGAGGTGTTGGTCCTCAGGGTCAAAAAGGCCCTCAAGGGGCACAGGGTGCCAGAGGCGCTATTGGAGCAAACGGACCTGATGGAGATGCAGGACCAAAAGGTCAACCTGGCCCTGTGGGACCGCCCGGAGGACCAGGACCAGTTGGAGATGCTGGACCTGATGGTGATAAAGGCGCAGCAGGACCGAAAGGACCGAAAGGGCCACCTGGAAAAGTAGGTGATCCAGGAGACAAAGGACCTGTTGGACCTCAAGGAAATGCTGGACCCAAAGGACCTCAGGGAGACTTGGGACCTGCTGGACCAGATGGGGCAAAAGGTTGCCTAACAAAATAAAATTTTACTTTAAATTATCGTTATTTTATCAAATAGGCGAGGCTGGTGCAAAGGGAGCCAATGGACAAGATGGTCCTCAAGGTCAGCCAGGAGTATCTGGAAAAATAGGCGCAACAGGTTTTACAGGACCTGATGGTGTGAAAGGACCTCAGGGTTTACCAGGTCCTCAAGGACCAGTAGGACCTCCAGGCGACGTAGGAGCAGCCGGTCAAGATGGAGCCATCGGCGATCAAGGTCCTGTAGGCCCTGCAGGCAACAAAGGTTCCCCAGGAAGTCAAGGTCCTCCTGGACCCATAGGGCCAGTTGGAGATGCTGGTAATCCTGGTGCAACAGGAAATATAGGACCAGCTGGTAAGATTTGAAAGTGAACAACGTTATTCTTCAAAAATTATAAAATTTCTATTCTAACCTACAAAATAGGCTCGCCTGGTAACGACGGAGCGGTTGGAAATCAGGGTTCACAGGGAAGTCAAGGTCCAGCTGGAGCGGCTGGGCCTCCAGGAGCTCAAGGAGCAACTGGCGATCCTGGACCTAAAGGACCAGATGGAGTACAAGGTGCAACAGGGCCAAGAGGCCCACAGGGTAACATAGGACAAGCAGGACCAAAAGGTAAAGTAATAATAAGAATAGAGAAAATTATTTTAATTATTTGTATTAGGTAATCCGGGAGAGGCTGGCAGCAATGGAAATCCAGGACCACCAGGAATACCTGGAGACGTTGGACCTCCTGGAAACTCTGGACCAGCTGGTCAGAAAGGGCAGCAAGGTGGCGCTGGCCCACAGGGAGATATTGGCATACCTGGTAACCCTGGAGCTCAAGGACCTATTGGTAAAGTTTTTTATTGTTATAATTATTGTAATTTACATACTTAGGAGTATTTAACAAATGAGTTTGAATTTAATATAGATCGTTTAAGGAAAATATAAAATTAATTATATGTCAGAATAAATTCTAGAAGCTGATTCCATGTGTTAAACTCTATAACAGGTGATCCCGGTGCACAAGGACTCCAGGGAGCTACTGGACCAAAAGGCGCAATAGGCGATCCAGGTACTCCAGGCGATCAGGGACCACCGGGTTCTAAAGGTCCACAAGGTCAACAAGGATCTGAAGGACCCATTGGAGATGCAGGAGATAAAGGCCCTGATGGTCCTCCTGGACCGGCTGGTAATACCGGTAGTCAAGGCCCTCAAGGTGCCCAAGGTCCAGCAGGTGCTGTAGGAGACGACGGAGTTGTTGGAGCTCAAGGACCCGATGGTCCGCAAGGTCAGGCAGGACTTCAGGGTGGAACGGGACCGAAGGGACCTCAAGGTAACACTGGCGATCAAGGTCCTCAAGGAGAACCAGGAAATCAGGTATTTAAGATATCTGATTCATAAAGCATCACTTTCATATTTAAGTTTTTTAGGGGCCCCAAGGCGATCAAGGAGGACAAGGAGCAACTGGACCAAGAGGACAACCTGGTCAAGTTGGAATACAAGGAGAAAAAGGTCCAGCCGGAGCAATTGGTGATCCTGGTGCGACTGGATCGACTGGTTTAGATGGAGCAGAAGGAGCACCTGGTCCTAGAGGATCAAAAGGAGCACCAGGTGTTGCTGGCGGTGATGGACCTGTGGGAGCTGTTGGTACAACTGGCGGAAAAGGTGCTCCTGGCCAAGTTGGCCAGAGAGGACCTCCAGGATTAGAAGGAAATACAGGAGATGCTGGACCTCAGGGAGATAAAGGACAGAAAGGAGTAGATGGGCCGAGAGGTCCTAAAGGCCCAATCGGTGATGCAGGACAACCTGGAGTTAAAGGAGTCCAGG